GGAAAGTCCATGAGATTCTTATCTCCAATTGGCCACCTAAAAGCTGGAAATGGAGCTGTGGCTCAAGTAGTACAGTGCTACCTTTGAGCAAAAATCCTCAGTGACAATGCTTGGGCCCTGAGTTCAAACCCCAGAACCAGCACAAAAGAAAAATAATCTCAAACAAATAAACCAGCAACACCCCACCTTACTTGAAGGAAGACTTTCCTACAACTGTGACATATGCATATTCTCAAATGTACTCTCTACCATTTGCCTTGGTGGCTACATTTCTATCTGAAATGCAATATATTCTTTTGGAATAAAAGATGGTAACTAAAAAAAAAATTTTTTTTTGGTCCAGTCATGGGGCCTGAACTCTGGGCCTTGGCACTGTCCCTCAGCTCTTCAGCTCAAGGCTAGCACTCTACCACTTGAGCCACAGCGCCACTTCCGGCTTTTTTCTTTTTGCTTATGTGGTGCTGAGGAATCGAACTCAGGGCCTCAGGCATGCAAGGCAAGCGCTCTACCACTGAGCCACCTTCCCAGCCCTAAAAAAAATTTCTTAGGATGATAATTCCACGAATCTCCTTTCTCAATTCCATAGGATTATTATCTGTCATTGGCCATTAACAAATAAGCTGAAAATAATAATTTTACCTGATCTAGAACTAGATTTTGTGGCCAATATGCCAGTATGTTATCAGTTATAACCACTCAGCTCTACTGTCACAGGGGAAAGTGTGTGTGGCTGTTTCAACAAAACTTTAATTATAAAAACTTAGAGTGAGGGCTGGGGAAGGTGGCTCAGTGATAGAGTGCTTGCCTTGCATGCATGAGGCCCTGGGTTCGATTCGTCAGTACCACATAAGCAGAAAAAAAAACAGAAGTGGTGCTGTGGCTCAAGTGGTAGAATGCTAACTTTGACCTGAAGAGACCTGAGGGACAGCGACCTGGCCCCACCACCGACAAAACAAAAACAAAAAACAACTTATGGTGAGCTAGACTTTGCCCATGTGTTGTCATTTGTCTACTTCTCACCTAGAGAACTGATACACGGTCATATTAATTTCTGTCTCAAGATTTACCCTATTTCTCAATTGTTCGTCTTTCTGTCTTCAGTGTGGAGAAGAGACCATGTATAGATAGTTTCTTACAATAATTTGGGGTGTGTGGGGAGTAATTTGACTTAGAGCATAACTTCAGGTTGCCCCTGAAGGAGATTGCACTAGTATTCCTCGTAGTAAATCCAGTAGGATTTTAAAATGTATACCTTAGACTTTGCATTTTTGTGGCAGTTTCATACTCACCATAACATGAGTCCAAAGCCTTGAAAGTCAAATGATCTAGACCAAGACTAATTTTATTTACATTATGGACCCCAGGCTACTATGTCTAGATGCCTGTGACCTCTAGCTTAGGCTCAGTGGTAGTTCTGTCCTCAACAGTTTTACTTCTCTGTTTGTTTGCTGTTGTTGTTGTGAACTCCTTGATGGGACTCAAATCTGCTTCTTTCTTTTTTTGTATTGCTTGCTACCAATTGTAAACCCTCAAATTTGTATTTCTCTCACTCTCTATCCAGTTTCTCTTCCTATAATGCTAAATGCTACTCTTTTATACAACTTAATGGCCCATAAATGTTTTTGTTCCACTATAGTCAGTTTTATAGAGAACATTCATGTTATTTCACTTATAAAAACTATTTTATACACATTTATACATTTTTCCAAGTATGTAAGTACTTCATCTTCGGAATTCTCCATTCAATTCATGGCCAAAAGAATTTAAAGCACTTTTGAACATAAGTGTAACAGTATTTGCTGATAAAAGTATTTTGAATGCTTATGTGCTAGGTTATATAACAGTATAAAAGGCAAAATTTCAAAGAAACAGAGTAAACAGAAAACAAAATTTGTAAGCAAAACTAAGCCAACAAATTTAAGACTAAATTATATTGCATACATTTTATTTGAATTACAGTTCATTTGAATTTAAACCTTTTGTTCTGAGTTTTTCAACAACTAAAGTAAACAATTTAATGGTTTTATAATTCCCTTAATCTAGTAAATAAAAAAACACCAAGTAACTAAATTACACTTCTCTGATCTGCACTTAGAAGTTTCCCCGTAAATGTTATTATTAGTCATTAGCATTTACTTCTCCAGAGAAACAAAATCCATACATTTATATTTTGTCTCTCCTCCTCACTGAGAGCTTATTTAGGAAAATTGTTTGATTCCACACATATATACCATGTATCCCCACAACCTCACCCACTCCAGCACTGTTTCTTACCCGACTCCATCCAAGAAAGCTTCTTTAATTTCAAGACTATGTTAATGTTGCTTTGGATTGTATTCTAATGGGGCAGTGATGTTTTTAAAATGTTATTTAAAACAAACAAGCAATCATTCCATATGACCATGGAGAATGCAAAGTCCCACATCTGCTGTATGCATTCTGGAAATCTAAAAAGCTAGTTGTATCTGAGACATTAATTTGGAATTGAACTTTACAACTTTGGGAGGGGGAAGAGTGGGGTTGGGGGAGAGAAGGGATAGTAGGAGAAAAACAAAGGAGCAGGTAACAATGTTCAACAAGAAATGTACCCATTACCTTACTCGTGTAACTATAACCCTTCTGTACAGCATCTTTACAACAAAGTAAAATTTCAAAAAAAAAAACAACAAACGAACAAGGGCTGGGAAGGTGCCTCAGTAGTAGACTGCTTGCCTTGCATGCTTGAGGCCCTGGGTTCAATTCCTCAGCACCACATAAGCAAAAAGAAAAAAGCCGGAAGTGGCACTATGGCTCAAGTGGTAGAGCGCTAGACTTGAGCTGAAGAGCTGAGGGACAGCGCCCAGGCCCAGAGTTCGGGCCCATGACCGGACCCCCCAAAAAACAAGAGCAAAAACAAAAAAAAGAACGAGAGTAGCCAATAGTGTAAGTCCTAGTTCATGAACAAAGGTCTGATTGTCAGGAGTGCTAGTATCTAAGGGCAAGAGAAGATGTCTTAAAGCTAACACAGAGAATTCACTCTTGGTCCTTTCCATTCTGTCCCAACCCTGGATGAATTGGATGATGCCCACCCATTCTGGTGACCATGATCTTCTTTACCCAACCTACAATTCAAATGCTAATCTCTTCCAGAAGCGCTGATACATACATAGTAAAGGATTGGTTATAATTGGCACTGTAGCACAAAGTGGTAGAGTGCTAGCTTTGAGAGAATAAGCTCAGAGACAGCATCCAGGCCCTGAGTTCAAGCCCAATGACTGACAAAGATACAAAAAGAATTGGCAATGTGCCCCATTTTCAGTAAGATGGCAGAGTGTAACCTAGAACATGATGAAAATGGAAGAATTTGTCATCTGAACAAAGTAGTGGAAAGAAATCACAAATAAAAAAGCCAAGGTGCATCTAGAACAAACTTTTTTTAGTATCTGTGATAATTCTCCATCTTGTAAACATACATAAAATGCTTCCATTTTATCCTATTATTGTTTTATGTCTAAGAATTGTTTGGGATATATTTTGAAGTATTTATTATTTGGTGCTAACCAATAATCTCAGTGATTTACTGGCCCTGTGACATTCATACCTAATTGTAGCTAGATCAAGTAACCCATACATTTGTTGGTTGAAGCAGTCAGAAGATTACTGATTCAAAGGGAGACGACACAGGTCTTACCATTTGTTAGACCCACATTGAAGAGAAGAATGTGCAACTAGAACTTAATGGTTGTAGCCACTTTTGGAAGATAAAATTTGAACAATAAGTGATTCTGTAGAGACTCAAATCACATAATATGAGATTAGAAATATGATTGCCACTGGTATTTCCTTGCATTTGAACTATTGTTACTGCCCTGAATTTACCTGGTTACACACAGTTGTTTTAGTGTTAGGTTTTCCTTCCTTTTTCCTCGTGTTGTATTTTCTTAGACTGGGCTCATGGTTCATGGATAAAACTTTAATCTTTCTTCCCAATTTACAACTCAGCTTGTCAGGTGCCCATCATTTCCTTGTAAATGGTTCATTTAAAAGGCTCTTGAAACATGAATGCATCTGGCAAAGGCAGATCTAAATATCACCCTGGAAAGGATCCAGTGACATCCCAATGGATTCCTACCAGCAAGGGAACACGTGTTCCTCTTACGTGTTTTGTTTTGTCAAGAAGGCTAGAAATGATGGCTTTTCCCACTCAATATTTGAAGTATTCAAAGGGTGAACCCTCTAGAGTGAGACAGATCTGCGCAGAGAGGCAGTTGCCTCATGTAATTGTGTAAAACTTTCTTTTAAAGATTAATTTTAATTTATTAATTTATTTTAATTTTAATTTATTAATTTTCTCATGAACAGACTGATAACAGAGATTTCTAGATATAATAGAAAAACTAAACAATCAAAGAAACTTCTAGTGAACTCAACTGTGGCTAATAACAAAATTACACTGCTATTTCTGTGCTCATTAATTCCCTTTCAGCATAATGATTTGGTCAGGCTCCTGCACTGGATGTGATAGTTTCATGGTATAGAAGAAAGAACAAAAATTCAGTTGTCTAGTGATCATTGAAGAAGATCACTGAAGTGTTACCACTGTGGTAACACCAAAATGCTCATCTGCGAACAACGATGAAACAAGGATGCTAACTTCAGGAGCCTGGGATTGATGGAGGGCATACTTTTGGAGGGGTGTTTATCCTTACTTGGCTCTCTATGATGGTAATTGGATTGTTACAAGGAACATTTTTTTAAGTATCTAAGTTAAGATTTCTTCTTGCCCGACCAGCATAGTTCATTGTAATATGGCATACAAATTTGGTAAAATGTGTTGAGATGTTGTCAATGTAGCAAAGTGTAGAATAAAAAGTTCCTTTTTTCTTATGATCTGTCTACTTAAAAGTAATACCTTCCTTTAATCTCCAATTATTATTGTAAGGGTGGAAGCATTTACTGTATTATTTTAAACTGTGAGAAAGCTTTAATTGACCTGGATTTACTGTCTTTGTATATGGCAGGTGGTGAAGTTTACTAAATCCTTTGAATTGCTGTCCCCAAAGTGCAGTGCTGATGCTGAGAACAGGTAGGGGGCCTGGGGTCTGTGTTTGTCCTTTGATGCTCTTTGTTCTTGGTGTAAGTGGAGTTGTGTTGTTCTTTGAAGATGGAAGTTATTCTTTCTCTAAATTGGCTGGCAAATGTTGCCAAATATCTCTTAAACTCTATTTTAGAGCTTAAATAAAAATCTATAGCCTCATAATGAATGTATATACATCTAGCTTGCAATCTGTTTTTAAGACTAAATTTTCATAATTAAATCTAATTAAAATATTGCCTTTGAATTTTAGTCTCTCTTTCCTCTGAACCTGGTACTGGGTTGGGATAAATTTTAAGGTATCTTGATATCTAAATTCAGGATCCAAGTTCTTTTTACAAGTGTATATGGAGAAGCAATGGAGGGAACCTGTTTCCTCTCAGCCACCAGTAACAATTTCTCCTTATATCAAACATTTGACTGAAACTGTTAATGAGTAAAGTTAGGTTTTAGGTACTCTTAAATATGTAGGAGACCTAATTTACTCCATTCTTCTGACCCTTTCTTTTATTCCTTTTTGTTTGCCTATATTTGGCCAATGATAACACCTTGCTAAAAAAAAATAAGTCTCCAATAATGAGATGTTTCTTTATTGGCATCTTTACATCTTTAACAATAGACGAAAGGTGGGCAGCATCTTCATTTGTTACTGCCCTGAATAACAGCAGAGCTGCTAAGAAAATAGCTCCATTTAGTTTGGACCTCTCTAGAGGAAGTACAGAAAAGTCATGCACAATGAAGAGATCTAGAAAAAGACAAATCTAGTGCCAGGGGCAGTATAAGGATGATGACAATGATGTCTAATAATGTAAGTGTTTCTGTTCATTAAGTACCACATGGTATAGTATTTTACATGCACTTTCTAAGAGGTTTTAATATTCATGAAGATGAGCTTATGTTCACATCTTTTATATTGTCCGTTTTTGAGACAAGGAGGCATAGAACTTATGGTTCTCTTGCTTTAGCCTCAGCTGGGCTTACAGGCATGTGCCACCACACCCTGCTCCAAGACAAAAGTATTTTTGGCAGTATTGATCTTGAATTCAGCGGGTCATGCTTCTACTACTTGACTCATGACCTCATCCCTTCTGCTTTAGATGGGATTTCCTGCTTTTGCCAGTGGTTGGTCTGGGACAATTATCTTTCTACCTTTGCCTCCCATGAAGCTGGGATGGAAGGCTTGTGCCACCACATTCAACTTCTGAAGTAGATGTTCCGTCCCTTTAAGTCATAGGAGAAAATCAAAGCTCAACAAGTTTTAGAAACTTGTTTGAGGCCTTGTAGCCAGTAATGGTATCCTCATATCCAAGGGCAACATTACCTCTCCCAACCTCTGCACTTTGATCCCATTGCGACATATAACTAAAATCGGACAATCAATCCCATAAAATGAACATCTCTTGAGATAGTGTTTCCCACATGTAGTGGATTAGTCTCAATCTGGTTTGGAGAATTTGGTGAAACTGGATCTTTGAGAGATTCTGATTGAAAGCATTAAAACGAAGTACTAAAGAATAAATATATTCAAATGGGAAATATCTGTTTCACAAGGTAATATTAATTTGGATTTTATGCCTATTATTGGCTTTAATTTAAGAAACTAATAAATTAAAACAGATACTAGTACTTTACTATTATTGAATATATGAAAGTTAAAAGAGGTCAGGGCTGCATATTGTATAATTCATTCATATGGAACTCTGTTTCTTTTTTAAAATTATCTTTAAATAGTTGTACAAAGGAGTTGCCATTCAACAAAGCAGTTTATGAATACAGTACATCTTGATCAACATCCCCCTTTTCATCATTCTCCTCCATCCTCCCCACCATACCTCTAACCTCAATTTTCTTATTTTTGTAGGATATATACTGAATTTTATAACTGTGTTCTCCCCCCTTCCTGTCTTCATTCATCTGTCTTTCTTTCTATCATTTCATACTGAGGATTTGAACTCAAATGTCTTTCACTTGCTAGGCAGAGTCTACAACTTGAGCCACAATTCCTACCCAAACAAACATTACAACAAGAAAACACATCAGTAGCTGCCAGAGGCTGAAGGTAGAGAAAAAGGGTAACTACAAAGAGAAACTGAGAAATTGAAGTTGCAATGTAACTGTCCTGCATCTTGTATTGTTTGTATTGACAAATGCAAATACAATTGTATTTGTAAAGATGTACAAATTGCACACTTAAAAGAGTGAACTTTACTCTCAGTAAAGTTCTCATATTTCAAAATGGAGAACCGAGGTCTTTTCTAAGAGGTTTTCATATTCATAAAAATGAGCTTACATTCACATCTGGATTCAGTGTCAACAAACCTATACCTAATGAAGATGTTTAGATACAGAGGGTTTCTAGTAAAATGCTCAGAATTTTTCCTATGTAGAATATTGTGAAATAACATCAAATACACTAGAGAAAATCTCTGTTGGTTTGGATTCCTTTAGCTGCTCATAACCTCTTACAAGTTATTTTTTTTCTTTTTCTTTTCTTTTTTTTTTTTTGGCCAGTCTTGGGGCTTGAACTCAGGTCCTAGACACTGTTCTTGAGCTTCTTTTGCTCAAGGCTAGCACTCTACCACTTGAGCCACAGCTCTGCTACCAGCTTTTTCTGTTTATGTGGTACTGAAGAATCAAACCCATGCTAGGTAAACACTCTACCACTGAGCCACATTCCCAGCCCACAAATCATATTTCTTTTTTTTTTAATTTAATTTTATTTTATTTATATCCTGCATGGGCAGGATAATGCGTACATTTCTTACCAAGCATTGCAGCCCCCTCCTTTGTTTACCCTTCCCATCCCTTCCCAGCCTCCCCCCTCCCCCCCATCCCAATCCTTCTCCTTCCCCCCTCCCCCCCCATTCCTCACCCTACCCCACCCCCGCACCGACGTTGTAAAGCTCGTTTTGGACATGACAACTTGTACTTCTCACAGTAAGCCAGGCCCAAAGAAACATAGGTCCCATGGTTTCCCTTATTTGCAATATCTAGTATATGTATGAGTCAAGCGGAAAAGGTCAGATAATGTGATGTCAGGAAAATGAACCCTTAGATATGTATTTTAATGTTTTTTCTTTCATGCATGTGTTTTGTTGCTTTGTATGTCCCTCCCCCACAGTATAACCCCTGCTTTCACTATATTTGATGTCAGTATAACTTGTGGAGGAGATGGGGAAAAACCAGTTATTTAAGGATACAGGTGGATCTGACACAAATCATATTTCTAAAGGAACTATTAAAACCTTAAGTTTCTGTTATGGGGCTAGGTTTTGGGTAGGGTTGAAGCCTGTCAGCAATCAGTAGCTTTTTCCTCAGGAACTAGCTCCTGAGACACTCACTCACACAGCCCAGCCTGAAGCCATTCTCAGGATTTATGTTTACTGAGATTCCAGTTGTTTTTCTTTTACCCTCAGGCAGCTGGGGCTGCAGCTTGTGCTACAATGGAATGGGGCAGCCTCTGGCTCTGTTTACCCAGTGAAGAAAGTCACTCCTTTCTGGGTGGAGTTATCTCTGCCTGGGAATGGCAACTTTCTCTTGGGGTGGAGCTGAGCTCAGCAGGTCAGGTTCCTTTGACCTGTAGAATGGCTCCTATAGTCTTCTTCCAAGGCCTGAGTTGCGAGCTGCTCCGGCCCTGTCTTTATCAGTATCAAAATGGGAGTTCTTCTCTGGTGGTGGGAAAGGGGCTACCTTCCCACCACTACACCTTGAAAAGGGATGAGGATGTCTTGTATGGTACTCACTGCCTTTCCCTTGGTTTCGGGGCTGCCCATAGTCTGCAACTGTCTGTGGTAAGCAGGACGAAGATTTCTGCTCCTTGTTGCTGTTGTTTTTAATGTACTTATAATGTAGTGTGTCATTTTTGTTTCTTTTGTATGTTCTTCCCCATGGTATAACCCCGGTTTTCACTGTATTTGATTCTGGTGCCCAGCATCTTGTATATACAATTTTATAATTTGGGCAGGGGAAGGGAAATAACAAAATGCTGAAATAAGTTACAGGTTGACCCATTGTAACAATGAAATGTACAAGACACTATGTTGCAAATAAACTTTAGAGCCTGGGGGGTGAGGAGAAGGAGAAATTGGGGAGGTAAGAAAGGAAAGGATGGTAGGGGAAAAACAAAGGAGGGGCGTAACAATGTTTGCTAGGAAATATACTTACCTTACTCATGTAACTGTAATCCCTTTATACAGTATCTTTACAATAAAAAATAAATATTAAAAATACAACCTTCAAAATTCCAATACTTCTATATTATTGTTTTTATATCACATATATGCTTTCATGGTCACTTCTGGCTGGATTATTTTAATGTCAAAAGAACTTCCATGTCAAAATGAAATGACCCAAGGCCCAGACTGCCCGAAGAAAACTTTCTGATAATAAAAAAAGAAAAAGAAAGGTCAGCTTTTCTATGAAGAGCCATTTTAAAAGTGCCTTTGAACTTTGACATTATGAGTCAGTACTGTTTATCATTCTATTTATGGCTTTTAAATTAATGGATGATGTTCATTTATCTCAGAAGACATTTCCTTCATTGTCCAGTAATTTTCTTCTTTGTAGAAGTGCACCCAGTCATTTATTGGAACAACTGGCTCTACCATTTACTTTGTTTAAGGCATGGAAGGAACATGGAAACAGGCCACAAGTCTACAAATCATAGCATGCTCTCAACACCACTGTCTATCTTTCTCTTAACCTTTTATCACTCTACATCTTTGCAGTAGATAATGTTGATTAAATCCTCAGTCCTCTGGACATCATTCCAAGATATAGTAGTATAGCTTTTAAAAGACAAGCTTCACATTACAATGCTTCATAGTACTATTTCAGAATCCTCCAGTTTGACAATCCTTGTAGACATTTCTTTTAATAAGTTAATTGTTGACTCACAGTTCTGCTTAGCATCTTAAGCTGTTAATTCCTTAGTGTTAGCTGGTCTTCTTGTGGTCTATATCCCGTGAACACCTACCAACTCAAGAGGTAGA